AATTTCATTAATTACCCAATCAGTTTTTAAAGACTTTCTTCTTGTAGCAGGTAGCCTGTACACTGGGTTCTGATAGAAGACTGTGAACCAGCGGAACATCCCTGCCTACCCTTGGGCATGTAAGAGTGAGGAGCCGAAAACAAATACAGTCTGTGGGGAACACTAATGAGTTTTAGGAGTAAACAGAGGGTGCACTGGGAGTCTATAGACTCCATCAGGCTATCAGGGAAAAGCTTTCAGTCTGGGCATTTAGGAAAACTTTAAAGATAGTTGTTTGGGGGGATTTCCTGCTCTCTCATTTTTCTAAAACTGCCTATAATAAGAAGCTCTGCTCTTTGACAGTTTCCTCCTCTTTTCCCTATTCAAAGCTAATTACCTTGTTTAAACAAAAAGTAGTTGGAGCATGTTAGTACAGACCTGAAATCCCAGCACTCTGGTGGTAAAGGCAGGAGGATCAGGAGTTCAAGGCTAGCCTAGGCTCCATACTTCACCTTGTCTTAAAACAAAAACAAACACAAAGACATAATTGGGTTTCCCCCTTAAGGGTATTAACGGTAGGAGTATATTAGTGACTTGTAAAGACTGGGGAAGCAGAGTCAGGAGGACTCTGTGTCTCACAGGCCAGCTAGTCTTGTTGAATGGTAAGCTCTGGGTTGGGTGAGAGAATTTCTTAAGCAATGCAGAAAGCTGTTGAAGAAAATAGCTGGCACTGTCTTCTGGCCTTCCCACATGTATACACATGTATAAACACACATGCTCCAGCTACACTCAGAAGCAGCCTTTTTACTAGGTCTTGTAATAAGACAATAAGTGTGCAAAAACTGGGAAGTAGTTGGTTTATTTTAAACTATTATTGAAAATATTTTATTTTCAATACCAATTTTGAAATTTTGAGCACTGTTGAGGCAGCCACAGAAAATATTTCTAAAAACAAGTGTCAGGTTCTGAAAGTTCCTATGAAATGCTACTTAATCCTTTTAAATTTTATTTTAGATTTATTTTATGGGTGTGAGTGTCCATCAGGGATCATAAGAGATCATGGATGCCCACATGGGTGCTAGGAACCAAACTCAGTTCCTCTGCAAAAAGCAACAGGTGAAAAAGATTGAATCCATCCTCTTTCCTAACAACTCAAAACAAGCCTTCTGCTTAGCTTTCTGGGATAAAGGGGCCTCCACAACCCCCTTTTCATCCTTTTTTGGAGTGGTGGTGGAGCAGGAATCAAGATCTTGCTGTATATCCTAGGCTGGCCCTGAACTTGTCCGTCTTCTTGTCACAAACTCTTGGATTACAACAACACATCACATCTTAAAATATTCTGGGGACACTAATTCTGGGACACATGGCTCACTGGTGAAGAGAAACTGCTGCTCTTCTAGAGGACCCAGGTTCAGTTCCAAGCTCTCACATGTCAGTTCAGTGACCATCTCCAACTCCTGTTCTTCTGGCCTCTTCAGGCACTGGGCATGGTGGAGTTACACAGCACACATCCATGTAGGCAAAACATCCATAGACGTTTGAAAGAAAAAGGTTGAATTCTGATGGGTTCTTTTTATTCTTCCCTCTTTTCAGTTTAGTGTTTTGTATGACTGATGAATTTGTGGAAACAAATACAGCTTGCTACTTAGTAGTTAGTGGAATTGAAAGATTGTAGCATTTCTAATGTTGAAAGCTGGTCTTGGTATATTATTACAAAAAATGAGACTAGGCTTTTTCTAACTATGCAGTCTGGAGCAGTTTGGCCACTGAATATACTCGCGTAACCATTATGCTAATTGAGAAGACATCATGTGCATCCCTCAGAAAGTCCTTTGTTTCTCGCTGCAGTCACTCCTGCTTTTCTCCGGGTGATTGCTCATTTGCTTATTGCTGCTGTGGGTGAGCTTCTCTTGCTCTTTCTTGGAATTGTATCATGTGGACTTTTGTGTTTAGTGTGATATTTCTGTTATCCATCCATGTTTGCTGTATTTGTGAAAGCATTCCTTTTTTGAAAACTTCTCTTTCTCCCAAGATAACATTTCATTGTATGACTTCAATTTTTCCTTTTAACTGTTGATAGGAATTTGAGTTGTTTTTATATGTAAATGTATTCATACCTTTTTAAATATTTTTTATTTTTTTATATTAATTACAGGTTATTTACTTTGTGTCCCAGCTGTAGCCCCCTCCCACTCCCACCCTTCCTCCCTCATCTCCTCCTTGTCCCTCTCTAAGTCCACTTATAGGGGAGGACCTCCTCCCCTTCTAACTGACCCTAGCTTATCAGGTCTCACCAGGACTGGCTGCAATGCCCTCCTCTGTGGCCTAGCTAGGCTGCTCCTCCCACGGGGTGGGTGGGGACTGGGGAGGTCAAGGAGCTAGCCATAGAGTTCATGCCAGAGACAGTCCCTGTTCCCCTTACTAGGGAACCCACATCGATACTGAGCTGCCATGGGCTACATCTGAGCAGGGGCTCTAGGTTATAACCATGCATGGTCCCTGGGTATTCATACAGTTACAGGAATTTTACAAATTGTTTTACCAAGAGTTTATACTCTCCCACCAATTATGTTAAGAGAATTCCAGTCACCCTGTATCATTGCCAACACTTGGTGTGCTTAGTCTTTTCATTTTTAGCCATTCTTCTTGGTGTATTAGTAGATCCATTCTCGTATGGACTCAGACTTTTCTGAATGTTGCAGATGTTAAGTACCTTTGCATGTGCCTTTTAACCATTGGTGTGTCTTTCCTATGTTCATTTAAATATTTCCTTTTAATCTGACATTCATTATTGAATTAAACTTTTAGAGAAGAAATTTCCTTTTTTTTTTTCAAAATTTATTTTTATATTATGTGAATGAGTGTTTTGTCTGCATTTATATTTGTGCACCACATACATTCCTGGTGCCTTTGGAGGCCTGATTTCTGGAACTGAGGTTACATGAGGTTATGAGCTGCCATGTGGGTTTTGGAAACTGAACCTAGGTCTTCTGCAAGAAGTTTTTTCTCTGATAGTGCATTTTGTGTCTTACAAAAATATGTGTTTATCCCCTAAAACAACTGTGGGTCACAGCCCACACAGGGGTTGCATATCAGATCAGATATTTACACTATGTTTTATGATTCATAACAGTAGTAAAGTTACAGTTGTGAAATAGTAATGAAAATAATGTCATGGTTGGGGGTCACCACAGCATGAGGAACTGTATGAAGGGTTACAGCATCAGGAAGGGTGAGAACCATTGTGCTAAGGTCTTAAAATTTTTCTCCCATGTCTTCTAAATATTTTAGGTGTTGTTTTGTTTTTTGTTTCTTGAGACAGAGTTTCTCAGTGCAACCTTGGTGGTCCTGGAACTCTACAGACCAGGCTGGCCTCAAACTCCAGAGATCCTCCTGCCTTTGCCTCCTGACTACTAGGATTAAAGGTGTGTGCTATTACCATCATATTTTTTTAGTTTTTAAAAAATTTTTTTTTTGTTGCTGTTCTTTGTTTGTTTGTTTAAGAAGGCTTAGCACTCTCTATGTGGACCAGGCTAGCCTTGAACTCATTAGGTTTTTCTGCTTCTGTCTCCAGATAGAGACTGGATTAAAGGTGGGTGCTACCATGGTTAATGCTAAAGTTTTAGGTTTTATGTTTAGGTCTTTGGCCTGTTTTTGTGCCAACCCCTCCTGCTTCCTGCCCACGTGCTAGAGATGAAGTCCAGGGATTTGTGCATGCAGGCAAATCAGTGCCATTGGACTGTACTGTCAGTCCTCATTGTTTTGTAAATTTCATTTTGTGTAGGGTACATCCTCAGAATTATGCTTTATATGTAGAGATTTGATTTCTCCACTTTTTGCTATTAGTGTGCTTACATGATCACGCTGTCATCAGAAAGAGTATAAAATGACAAGAATGCATCATTAATGTGCAACTTTCACATATATTTATACACCAGACTTAGTAAAAGATTGTATCTATTATATAAACTCTTTATTAGAAGCTTTTATTTTCTAACCATCATTATCTTTGTGTTTTTTACATGTCATATACTTTGGCTTTTGATAAACTGCTCTGTCTGTACATTAAGTCTCTGGCTAACACAGAGTTTAGGGTCTTGAGGTGTAATATTTAATAAAGTAGAACTAATGAGAGCTCCACTTTGGGACATTACTCTTTCTTTGACTGAGTTCTTCTTTCTCTCATCTTAAAATATTTTTTCTTCTGTATATGTGTGTGTTTGTCTGTATAAGTGTATGTCTCATCTGTGTGGATATGCCATGGATGCTAGAAGGGGTGTTAGATCCACTGGAGCTGGACTGCAAGGCTTTGGGAGCCTCCTGACAATAGTGCTGGGAAGAGCAGCAAGTGCCATTTCTCTGGGCTGCAGGGTTGGCCTTTCCCTTACCTCACCGTCACAGTTTCCATTTATTATTAGATAGAATGAATCAGCTAAGTATGTGGTGGAGATGAGAGAAATGGTTGAGTTTACATGTAACTTTCTTTTCCTACTTTTCTCTTTTTCTTGAATGAAATTTTTCTCCTTATTCTCCCCCTTTTCTTAGCTTTTTGGAGACCAGCTACAGATATTCTGTGCATACCTCCTGTCTTTCTACAGTTTTTTTCCTTCTTGAGAACATATTTCTGATATTAAGAGTAGATTCCCCTGGAGTTTTCCATATGATGTTCCTAACCAAAGAACCTATAATATTTCATTCTTAGGTTAAGTACCAGTTAAAGCACAGAGCCAAGGGGCAGGATTTTATATTATAAACTAATGGCATAGCTGAGAATTAGCTTTCCTCCTAATTGTCTCATCTCTCAAAATCCATCCTTTCAGTTTATTGGAGCTGTTTGTGATAGTCTACTCTCATGAGACACTGGTACCCATAGTGCTTTGTGATGTTCTTATGCTTGTTTTACGGGGTAGGGGCTTCACGAGTTACCTTTATTCAGATAGAAAACAGTTCACCACTAATGCATAATCATTGTCTTTCATTCTGTTTTTTCCTCCTTCCTTTACTCTGTGGTTGTTCTGCAGGTCTTGTTCAACGCTGTGTGATCATCCAGAAAGATGACAATGGATTTGGGCTGACAGTCAGTGGAGATAATCCAGTCTTCGTACAATCTGTCAAAGAAGGCAAGGCATTTTAGAAAATAGTTTTGTTGCCAGGTGTGGTTGTAAATGACTTTAATCTTTTCAGAGGCAGGTGGAGCCTTGTTTACATAGTGAGTTCCAGGCTAGCTGGGGATCCATAGTAAGACCCTATCTCAAGAACAAAAAAAACACTTTTGTCTATAGAAAGCAGTCAGAGTAAGCATAACAAAGCTTAAATAATGTCTCTTGCCCAGAATAGAATTATACAGACTGGACTATTATGCTATGCTTGTTTGTGGGGTTATAAAATTAAGTTGCCTCAGGTGGTATTTTTTTAAAGAAAGAAAACAGTTCATCTTTAGTTATCAAAATCACACAATTTCTTGGTATTTTCCATGCCATCACTTAACAGACATTTCTACAACTTGATTTCTTTGTAGCATAAAGTGATGTTTTAATAGAGTGGATTAAGGAGATATGGATGCTTGTCCCAAATGACAATAATGACAATCTTTTTTTTTTTTTTTTTTGGCTATTTTGCTAAGTGGATTCTTTTGGTGTTGGGTGCTGTAATTTCAGGTAGATAATAGTATATATTAAAGGAAACAACACTTTATAGATAATATTGAGCATCCGAGTTAAAAAAAATCATAAAAGCAGTCTGACTCACACATAATGGGTGGTAGAAGCAGGATTTGGACCCAAGTCTGCCATACTGTCCAGCCCATTTTTTAACTTGTGTTACATTACTTCTCTTTAAAGACTTATCAGTGAAGCTCATGTTAAACAATTCATTTCTTACACAGATGGAGCAGCCATGCGGGCTGGAGTACAAACAGGTGATCGAATCATCAAGGTAAAGCAAAGTCTGTTGTGGAAGTCATGATAGGATTGTATAACATATGTCACCTGTATTATACCCTTTCCACCTAGATTTTTATAAAACCAGATCTCTGCCTTTTATACAAACTTACTTCATTTGTTTTAAAGTTAGCATTACCCTTTACTGAAAGGTATGATAAAAGGCTGTATAAATGGAGTCACCTTTGTTCTTGTAGGAAAGTACTCAGTTTTTAAAACTCATTTTTGTCTAAATTAATCTGTTAGCAAGAAATACTCATAATATACAGATAGGGTTGTATTGGTGAGCTATTACTTGCAAATTGATGATTGTTGCAGATGAATTTTTCAAAGATGCTGGTATAGAGTTCCTAGCATACGCCAGGCCCTGGGTTTGATATCCAGCACCAGGAAAACAAGAACAAGCAAAAAAGCAAAAGATGAACAGGTGAAGAAAAAAGTGTGTAGTATATAAGCAGAGACGGTATAAATTAGTTTTAAGAATGTGACTAACACAGACTTCTGCCAGAAACATGCCTTGAGGATTCTTTATTTTGAGGTCAGATTTCATGGATCCTAGGCTGGGCAGAAAGTTCTGATTTCCCTGCCTACTAAGTATTGGGATTACAGATGCTCATCACCATTCTTAGTTTGAATGGTCCTGGGGAATAAGTCCTGGGCTTCATGCCTTTAAGCCAAGCACTTTTCCAGCTGAACTTTACATCCTCAGCCCAAGCCCTGTGAACTGTGATCATTAGAAGAGGAATAGATTTCTCAGAAATGTCTGTTGAAAACAGTTGAGTAATTTGATTACCTAAAAGTACTTTTTTTTTTTTTTTGAGACAGGGTTTCTCTGTGTAGTCTTGTTTCTCTGTATAGCCTTGGCTGTCCTCGACTCACTTTGTAGATCAGGCTGGCCTCTAACTCAAAGAATCTGCCTGTCTCTGTCTCCCAAGCAGTGGGTTCAAAGGCGTGTGTCACTATGCCCGGCAAGAGAACTTTCTTCAAAGTATTTAAAAGTGTTAAGAACATGATACTCTTTCTTGTAAAGAGCACTTGTGTGTGTATATATGATATATACATGTAGGCCTCCTCTGTCAGTGCCTGCCTTATTCCCTAAGAGTCTCTCATCGAACTCCTGGGAAGCCACACACACACCGGGCTTTTTACAGGATCTAGACTTGGCAGCAAGCACTCTTACCCATTGTGGTATCTCCCCAATCCAAGAGCACTGTTTAATTACAAAGAAACAAAAGCAAGCAAACAAACAAAACTGGCTCTGTGGGACACATCTGTAATCTAACACTGGGAAGGCAGGCAGGAGGATCATCTACAAATTTGAGGCTAGCCTGAGCTTACATAGGAGGCTCTAGGACTACAGGCCTTGTGTTAAAAAATAACAAAAATTAAATGAATAAATTATTAAGAAAAATAATAATTCTGATAGAAAAAATTAGCAAATAATTTTATCAGGAGATTCTTCAGAGTAATTGACATAACTAAGTTATTCATGAGACTATGACCAATGTCATTGGTAGCAATAAAGTAGAAATTAAAAGGATATATGAAAAATACATTTCATTATCAGGAAGTTTAATGATTGATGATTCATACATGGCATAAAATAGATACAGTAGAATGGCTTTTTCATGGTTTTCAGCATCAATTTGGTAAAATCTGTTTGGTAGAAACTTATAAATATGTATTACAAGATTTAAGTGTATAGCCTTTGATCAGCCAGTTTGTTTTTAGGGATTTATCTAAGGAAATAACCTGTGTGCCATATGAGATTTGTAAGACTCTGAAAATTCATAAACCATCTACAAACTAGGTGTGTATGAGCTGAGGGTAAAGCAAAAGGCTTTGAGAAAGAGTAGATTAAAGCGGCACAGTAACTAACACTCATCCCAGCACTCAGGATGAGGCAGGAGAATCGAGAGTTCATGGCCACCTGAACAGTGAGACTGTCTCAAAGAATAACAGCAATTAAAAAGACTGGATGAATTGGGTTCACAGCTTTCCATGTTAAGAGCTGATAGAAGAGCAGCTGTGTCTGTGTCCATGTTTGCACGCTAAAGGATTCTCTCAGATACTAAATGTCTTGGTGAGCAGCAGCTTCTCTGGGAGGCATTATGAACATACTGTTGTACTTCTTCCTTGTGTGTAGTGTGCATGTTTTACGTGTGCGTGTGTGTACATGTGCACATATGTACATGTGTATGTAGAGGCCAGAGGACAACTCCAGTGCTGTTTCTCCAGAGCTGTTTCTTCAGTGCTGTTAGCTTGATTTTGGTGCAGGCTGTCTGTCATTGGTCTGCTTGCCTGTTAGACCGACCTGGGTAGCCAGCAAAGTCCAGGGTTCGTCCTGTCTCTGCTTCCCCAGCAATAGGACTATAGCAATAAGTGCCCTGCAGTCCCTAGCGTTATTGGGGGTTTCTGAGGACCAAACTCAGGTACCCATGCGTGATTGGCACAGCAGGCACTTAATGGACTGAGCTATCCCCAACAGCTGCCTACACTGATGCATTTCAGCTTTAAGTTGGTATGACTTGCATGAGATAAACAAGTAAAATAATGTTAAATTCATGCTTGATGTTTTTACCTTAATTTGTTTTATTTAGTGCAGACCTTAGATAACATTTTTTATCCTTATTTTGTCTGAAAATTATTTTCTTTGTAAATATATCATATTTGGAAAATTAAAAATAAATTGAGTGTTATTACATAATCACTATTTTTTAATTTTTTGATTTAGTTTTGAAAAATCTTTTAACCGTTAGCAGTTAAAAGCAGGGATTTTTTTGTTTGCTTATTCATAGCTTCTTGTTGTATAGGTTAGGGTAGCCTTCTGCTGTTGATCACTCTGCCCTCGCCTCCCTTGTGCTGAGATTCCAGCCATTTGCCCTCAGTGCCCAGTCTATGCAGTGCTGGGAACAGAACTCAGCTCTCTATGCATGTTTATCATACACTCAGCCAGCTGAGCCACATCACCAGCCCTAAGGACATCTTTTTGAATTGGAGTAGTTCAACAAATCTGTGAAGAATTGTTGTTGGCTATTTTAAACTTATTTTTAAAAAATGTGTGTGTGTGTGTGTGTGTGTGTTTGCCTCCCGGTACGCTATGTACCACATTTGTGCCTGATGCCCATGGAGATCAGAAGAGGGCATTGGATTTCCTGGAGCTGGAGTTACAGATGAGTTACAGCCACTGTGTGGATGCTGGGAATTGAACTTGGGTCCTCTGGAAGAACAATGTAGTTTCTTAATTTCTGAGTCATCTTTCTCTAGCACCAATGTCAAGAATTTGTAAATGTTTTCAAGAATGCGTTGTATTTACAGTGTTGATTAAATTGCCGCTTCCTTTAAATTATGGGTCTTTAACTCTTTTATATTGCAATAGGACATAGTCATTTAGAAATATATTGGGCTTGCCTTCCTGGGTATTCTAGGATGCATATAGCCAGGCGGCCACAGGTTACATATACTACCTTTAAATGAAGGTTTTGGTTTGTGTTTGCGCTCATTTTTGTTGCTGAACAAATAGTGGTAAAAATGAATTTTGGACCAAATGTTTATTATAATTAGCCCTGAAGTCCCTATATAGCTGTTGTCTTAATTGGCTTCATGTGATACACATTTTTTTCCCTTACAGGTGAATGGGACTCTGGTGACTCACTCAAATCATCTGGAGGTGGTGAAACTAATCAGATGTAGGTGAATGTTACTTTATTACATTGTTTTCTCAAATCCTTAAAACAAAGGGTCGCCAAGCATTTTTCTGTAACTGGCCAAGTACCAGATATTTTAGGCTTTGTGAACTACATAGTTACTACTGGAGCTTGTTATTAATAGTATAAAGGCATGCATGGGCAATATGTATATGAATGGGTATGGCTAAGTTCCAATAAAACTTTATTTGGCAAAATGATCTGTGAATTAGATTTAGTCTCTTGACTGGTGTTTTCCACTCCAGCCCCCATTAGAAGATCTAAGGTTAAAAACTTACAAGTAATTATGTTTTGTTAACTCCCTGCCTTAGGACATAAATTTGAAAGCCATACGTGAGTCACCTGACAGCAACAAGGTTGAAAATCAGATACAGTGTCCTCAGAAGAACTTTAGAAATGATGTAATGCAGTCATTTTACCTCAGAACAGTAAATGGTTGTATAATTCAAGCAAATCTCTTGGAGAAGTGCAGGGCTATGGATTTACAGCCGTCAGGCTTGCGTTCACCTGCTTCCATTTAGCAGCTAGCAGTACTCTTGTAACATAGGGTCAGGAGTGGGTCGTGCTTCTCTAGACAGCAAGGCAGGTCAGGCCAGGCGCCAACACCAGCAGGGCCTCAGTTTCTCTGTATTTACAGTGGTTTTTGTGAGTTTTGCTTATAAGTCGGGTGATGGGCTGGTATTTGGAATATTGGAATTCAGTGAAGTCTGAGTTACACACCTAATACTCGTGAAGCCCTAGTTTAACTTTGTTGTCACTTTCTAGCCCACCCACTCTACAGAAGAAATTGTCTATTTCTAATGGCTTCATTCTTTGCACGAATGATAGCATGACTGTTGCAGCAGAAGCAGAGAAAGACATAACAGAGTCTCATCATCTGAACTTCTGTTTCCTTTGTCTTGACCTAGCTCAGTGTTAGGTAGTTGTCATGTTTTTAAAGAAATATAAAAGTCCAAAGAGAAAGCTGAAAATAAATGGAATGTAACAGAAAAGGAATGTGTGATTGTGTCAAATCATTTCATAGTAAGTACACTCTAAAAAAAAGAGAGTTATTAATGACTAAACAAAATCACTTAGTTTTTCTTACTGAGTAGACAGACTTTTTGGAATAAATTAATTGAACTAGGCACTACTGTGTAGCTTATGCTTGCCTGGCACATACTGGATAGCCTAAACTGGCATTGAGTTTGAGATTTCCTGTCTCGGCTTCTTGAGTGATGGAGTTACATGTGTGTGCTGCCATGTCCAGCTTAGTAGACTGAGTTGCTTTAAAGTGTTTTACCGGGAATGGGGATTAGAGGAAGATTTGGACAGAGTTGTATGTAGCCCTAGCTGGCTTGGAACCCATTATATAGCTAAGGCAGTCCTTGAAATTCTGATACTATTGTCTTTACCTCCATAGTGCCGATATAAGCATAAACCTCATATCTGGTTTACACAGTGCCACAGTCGAAATCCAAGGCATTGTGCATACTAGGCAAGCACCCTATGAACCTAACTGCACCTCCAACTCTAATGATGACCTCTTTCAAAAATTGTACCTTGGCTCTTTCATTGCCTCCTTATTGCTTAGGTAATCCTGGTGTTTTGTGGCTGACTTTTTACTGTCTACTCCAGACATTATTAGAGTGATTGAATTCTGGTTTCCTTTGAATGAGTTGAAGAAGACTAGAAAGCGCTGGGGTGAGGCAAGCACATGGGCTAGTGAAATGGAATAAATGACTTTCTCAGAATATTAAGACTGAAAGCCTTATTACAAATTATATTTGCTGGGCATTGTGGTACACAGTTGTGATACTAGCACTTGGGAGGCTGAGGCAGGAGCATCCCAAGTTCAAAGGTTACTTTTCTGTGGAATGGGTCAGCCTGGGTAACTTAGTGACATTGTTTCAAGATAGAAAAGTGTTTTTCAAAGGTGCAGATTTAGCTCAGATTTAGTCAGTCACTTGACTAACATGCATTCCCAGGGTTCCAGCCTCACTACCTCAGATAAAGAAAATAGAATGAAAAAGTTGTTTGTTTGTTTTTTAAGTTTCTCAATGGTGTTACGTTTCCTTTTCTTTTTCTCCCACCTCCCCACCTCAAGCTGGTTCCTATGTAGCTCTCACTGTCCAGGGACGCCCACCTGGGTCGCCCCAGATTCCACTCGCTGATTCTGAAGTAGAACCAACAGTCACTGGACATATGTCTCCCATTATGACATCCCCTCATTCCCCTGGAGCAACTGGGAATATGGAGAGAATCACTAGTCCTGTGCTCATGGGGGTAAGACCAAACCTTTTCTTAGCAGATGCTCAGTTATATAGAGGTGCCTTTGCTTTATACTAAGAGTTATGTGTGTTAACTGATTAATAAGCTTCCATTGAAGATTCTAAAATACACCTGCTTCACGTAGAAGTTGCATAATTATTTGGAATGATTGTTTGTTTGTGGAAGATTTAGTTGAAGAACTAGATACCTGCCATGTATAAAACAATGTACTACCCACAAAAATATGATAATTTTTTTAGCCTATGCTCAGAGTCATTAGTCATAGTGTATGCCTCATGAAGGCAAGAGTGTGTTTGTTTTGTTTGTGTTCCTAATGCCTGAAATGTTGCACAACTTATTGGAGGTGCTTAATAAACCTTTACTGACTGAGGCTAAGACTCAGCAACCACAATAAAGAGACAGAATGTAGACCTAACACTAAGTTGTGGGAGGCTTTCAAGGAGGAAAAACCACATCCAGTTGTGACGGAAAGGATCTTCATATAGGACGGTTGTGTTTGAGTTTAGCCTTTTATAATGGGTGACAGTGGTGGCCGTGGCGAGGAAAGCAGATGGGTGAAGACAGTTAACATGGTTGATGAGCCAAGAAAGTACCAGTGTTTTTAAAAAAGCAACACTTGCTTAGCTAGTTCCAGTAAAGGAGGTTTGTGGTGCAAGGTGGCTTAAGGGGAACGAGGTCATCTTTGTATTCTCAGTTGCAGAGGATGTTTACAGGTAACCAAGTAAGCAGTAAGCATCCATTCAACACTGTTGTGAACAGGAGAGGGGCATGATTGTGACAGGATTATAGGAAGACTCGAAATCTATAAAACACTACAGGGTTGTAAAATCAGAGTGATGAGTTGAGAGTTGTTCCAGATTTCGGGCAGGCTGGCCTAGATATTGGAACCAAGCTGGGGGACTGGTAGTAATGCCTCATTGGAAAAAAGTAGAAACAACAGATTTATACTTCCTGTAATTGCAGTTCTTCAGCTGATACCCACATTGAATGTTCTCTTGAACATAGTTTAGTAAAGGCAAAATGAAAAGGCAGAACTCTTCCTGTAACTTTCATAATGGAATAAGCCATCTTCATTCGTAACTGCCAGGAGTAATAAGATCCTAAAGGACACTGAGGGTTGGAGCTAACACAGAATACTGTCTCTCTTGGCTCTCAGTTTTAGCCTCATTTTCCCTGTATTGTGTTCTCATCTGTTTCTAGGAGGAAAACAATGTGGTCCATAACCAGAAAGTAGAGATTCTGAGAAAAATGTTACAGAAAGAACAGGAACGGCTGCAGGTATGGCGTTAGCCTGGGCTCTTGGCAGGCCAGCAAAACTGAGAGTGCACGTAGAGTTGCTGTTGCCCACAGTCAGTCAAGAGAACCGTACCAGTGCTACCAGCTCTTGTGTTAGCAGTGGGAATTTTTGCTATTTTCATGACATAAGTAATTAATCGCTAAGATATTGTTACAACTTTCAGTTACTGCAGGAAGATTACAGCCGGACACCTGCCCAAAGATTGCTCAAGGAAATCCAGGAGGCCAAGAAGCACATCCCGCAGCTGCAGGAGCAGCTGTCCAAAGCTACAGGCTCTGCTCAGGTAGCGGCATTATTGAAAGCTCTGCCCAGCGTTTGCAGGCAGACTGTGTCAGTGAGTGCCATAGTTGCCCCTTGAAAGTGATTTTTCTCGTGTAGGATGCCAGGATCTGGGTAGGATGTTAAGGAAGTAATAGTTAACAGAAGTAAGCATGGGCTTCTGATTGCTTGCTTGCTTTGGTACATTGAAATTTAAGAAAGAGTTGAGTACTTTTGCTTTGATGTGACAAACCAGAAATGTAGATTTCTATGGTTCATGCTGTCATGATGACAACTGATTTGTTTTTAACCAGGGATGTGAGATTTTTACACACTAAAGGGCATTGTGCCAAGTACGTGGGCAGGTATTCTTTAGCATCCTGAAGTTAGTTAGATACTGTTGTTCTCTGTTTTCCAAATCTACTTAAGACCTACAGATTAATTGCACCATTTGTTTCAAGTCTTAAGGCTTAAAAGTGAAGAACTTAAGTTCAAGGTCAGGTATGGCATACATGCTTGTAATTACAGCATCTAGGGAGGGAGGCTTAGATAGGGGATTGCACATTGGAGGCCACCCTGGGTTACAAGGTGAGAAATTGACTTTAGGAAAAGAAGAAAGACAGACAGACAGGAAGAAAGGAAGGAAGGAAAGAAGGAAGAAAGGACAAAAGATGGACAGGCAGTAGGGAGAGTAGAATGAGAATACCTGAAATCCAAACTCATTAAGATTTCCAAGCTTTATTATTATTATTATTATTATTATTATTATTATTATTATTATTATT